GTGTTGCTAGAAATTGAAAATAATCTGTATAAACATGTTCTTTCCTATGTGACAGCCCAGCTAATTACACCTCCTTGAGTTCACTCCATTCTACAGAATCTCTCTCTGTCCAAAGCGTATTGCTGCCAGGTCCACAACTTTAACACGTTGTGTCAGTACTGAATTAACCCTTCCTGCCATCACAGCTTGAGAGGACAGATGTTGCTATCAAACCCTCTCACTCCAGGAACAGCAGAAAAATCTCCTCCAGGGCAGGTGGTCAAAAAAAGAGTCTGGGAAAGCCAGTATAGCTCCATGTTCAGCATCCAACTGATGAAAACTTCGTGGAACCTTTTTCTCTGCTATCTAGCTGGTGGCCAAACCCACGACCAGGCCAGAAGCATTCAGGACATGCGGCCCTGCCACCACCCATCAGGCTGAGGTGCTCTGCAGGAGACTGCCCTGTGCCTGCTGTAAGTTCTCCAGCCCGTTTGTCTCACCTGATGTCAACACTGGAGCAGTTCATTCATGTTTACTGCATTCCACTTCTATGGCATGCAATCAAAGCTTTGCACCCTCCTGGAAAATTAAAATGTCCCCTGAGGGAAGATGGTAATTAATACACTGAAAGAGGATGATTCCACAGCAGTAATCGGAAAACTAATTATTTTTTACATAAACTGTTCTGTGTGCAGGCTTTCACAGGTACAGTGGTCTCATTCCATTGGGTTGATTGGGGGCCGGTGTGATGTGTGCATTTCTACAATCTGAGAGCTGAAACTAAGAAAAAGGGAAAGCACAAGCTGATACAGGAGGGGAGCAGCCAGCTGTCTTCCTTTGACAAGGAAGAATCTTCTATGTGAGAAGAGCAGCCTCCCAAAACCAAGTTACCTCTACATTATTTAGCAGCCATCTCACAGTCTTAATTCCTGGTTCACATCACATCTGTATGAGGAGACAGAGGCCAATGCATCCAACAGGCAGTCAGCATGTTCATGGAGGTCTTCTCCAATCTTAGTGTTTCTCTGATTCTAAGTACATGTTTATTGCAGGGCTTCCAGTAAGCTGCCACTACTGGTAGCTACTTTAAAGCCCAGTGCAAGGAATGAATGGTCACCATACATGACTCACTGAAGCCTTGGGGCCCTACTTTATCCATAAGTCATGACCAGCCCTTACCATGAGGTGGAAACCTGGCCGACAGTGAGCAGCTGATGCTCAGCATGACTTTCTGGGCACCCTGTCTTTGTGACATGGGACAACAGTGGCCAATATCAGTCTGAATTATCTCTGCTTACAAGATGAAGGGTACAGAACAGACTTAGCAAACTGAATGTGAAGTGTGGTTTCAGGCAAGCCTTGTGATCTAGCTGTTGGTGTGTGCATGCAATCATGCAAGGTTTCCTGTTTACCAGCTCTTCTTGCTCTTTGGTCCTGGCAGCTCCTATTTGTTGCACGGTCATGGGGTCTGCATCCGGCAAAGAGCTGGGAGGCAGATAGGACTGGAACTAGGGATTGGTCTCTCAGGCAGGAGAAGATCAAGGAGCAATCCCTCTGCCTCTTAGGACTGCAGAGGCAGATAAAATAAAATCACTCTTTCTATTTGGCAGACGCCTTCCAGCTGTGGAGAAGCACACTCTTCTCCCATAAACAGAATCTATTCTGCCACCTCTGATGCTGCTTCTGTTTGCAAAAAAAAAAAAGGCTGCTAATGTACTTGCCTGTTGACAAAGCAGATTTGCAGGATGGTTTATGACACCTACTGTACTCCCGGCTCAGAGATGTAAAACAATATCCACTGTAGCTACTGAAAGGGCTTGGCTAGAACAGCCACATCCAGAAGTATCCAGCAAGAAAAAAACAAAGCTATTAAAAACACTCACACACAAGCCAGGAAACATCTTATTATAGATCTGAGGAAGGGAAATTAAAAACCCAAACCCACACTCAGCATATGCCCAGCTATATTTGTCTGATCCATTTATTATCTTTGCCAGTACCACTTAAAAGCTGCACCACTCCAGAGTTTCATGCTAAAAAAAAAAAAAAAAAAACAGCACATGATGACATTGCTGGCTTACAGCTGAGGCCTATCCTGTTTCCCTGAACATTTGCTGATCTGGCATCAGCACAACATCAGGGGAAGCAGGGGTGGGGGCTTTGATCTGACTAGAAGATGCAGATCAGGGTAAAACAGGCTCTTTTTGTACTTATAGCATTGCTCTGCTGGAAGGGCAGCAAGTGGTGATCTTTAAAGCTGTGGTGGAGAATGTGCTGCTTTGAATGAGCTCCTTTGCTGAAGATGTCTGCACTTCTTTGCCTCGTGTCTGCACTTCTAAGTCTGCAGAAGTTAAAATAAAAACCCTGAAAATGCCACACCACACAAAGAGAAATGTGAAACAGAAGACATTACAACTAGCTCAGTTATTGCTCCCATAGTGTAAAGTCTGGAAATCAGCTCTGTAAGTTCTTCATTAACAAGCACAAATGGTGATGGATGACAGGCCAAGCTGACCTGCAGCTGGGAGGGCTTTTGTCCTCAGAGCAGGATCATAGAATCACAAAAGTTGGGAAAGACCTCCAAGATCATCCCATCCAACCGTTCCACCCACCACCAGTATTTCCCCACTAAACCATGTTTCTTGAACACCTCTATGGACAGTGACTCCACCATCTCCCTGAGCAGCCTGTTCCAGTGTCTGACCACTCTTTTGGAAAATAAATGTTTTCTAATGTCCAACCTGAATCTCCCCTGGTGCAGCTTGAGGCCATTCCTTCTCTCCTATCACTGGTCATGCAGAAGAGATCAACACTCACCAGAGTGAGGCCCAAGGTATCATTCCCCTTAACTTAGAAGAAATTTGGCTCCTAGGTGGACAGGGAGCTAATTCTGTGTCCCTGATGCAGCAAGCTTACAGAGGGCTCTGAAACACTCACTTTTATTAATAGCTAGATGTCCCAGGCATTTTTCCTTTTTGGTTCTCACGAGTTATTTTCACTGCACAGCTTCCCATGATCACTCAGTTTTGGGAGTTGATTAGACCAACTGGCGGGACAAATCCCCACAGTTGGAAGAAAAAGAAAAAAAAAAACAGAGAATCAAGAGCAATTCTATAAAAAGAGAGGAACATAGACACGGCATTGTGGGTACAAACAAGACTCAAGCACGTATCTGCCTCTCCACTGCCAAGAAAACCTCATTCAGTCACATGGAGTTTTAAATGAAGAAGTTGGTTGAGCATCTTGTGCCACTTGCCACTTTTGATGGCACCTTGTCCTCAAGAAGCCCTCTTGGGAAAGTACTCAAGGTATTACTCAATGGGGAGAACTAGATTTTAGTTCTAGTTCTGTTCAACAGCAACATCTTGGTCCTGGGAAGATCAATAGCAAAGGTATTCTGGATCCTGAACTCAATCCAGGTTGTGGAAATGGCAAATAGTGCACAAAAGAGTATGAGCTACAGTAGTCAACACTCAACAAGACCTCCCAATGGCCTTTGAGGTTAATTTCTTCCAACAATGAGGTATAAAAGGAGCTGGCAGAAGGGTTTTAAACAGCTAGAGTCAAACTTGTACAACACTTGAGTCTTCATAAAGGTCCAACACAGACTTCCTGGAGGTATGGGGACATATGCACTGAGTTCACACATAACGCTCTCTTGCACTGGTCTGCAGGACCAGCTTTTATAAATACACATACCCATGTTTGCACATGCAAAAAGATTCCTATATCCACTGAAATATAGGGGCCATCCTGTATTGTGCAAATCTCTGGAGGATGTGCATGCCAGGTAAATCATTCCAGCCCACACTGAAACACAACTCTTTTGCTGAGACTATAATGCGAAATACTCTGGAACACGCTCCTTAACTCACTGTGTAGGCAGTACAACATAATCACCAATTACATGATTACAGACTATTTCCCACTATTTCTCCCACATTCAGTTCCTACTCTGCATGGTGATCACTCACTGAATGAAAGTTTAACCTTACGCCCCTTCCTTTGTCTTTTTATTGTACAAACCTTGTTCTGAAGGTACATCTATTAACATTCTCAGGGCTTTCTGTTGATCTTGGCCATGGCCTGAGCAGTGACAGATAGAATGCTAACAGCACAGGAAGAAAACCTTCCTGCTTCCATCTCAGGTATCTGGATCCAGATTTGGGTGGGCTTGCTATGAGAATATAAAATCTTCTGAATATTCTCTGTAAAACCTGTATGAGCATATGCAAATCACTTTTTTTTTTTTTTTTTTAATTTCTCTTTCTCCCAAAGCTTTACCAGAGCAAAACACAGATTTACCGGGCTGAAGAATAGACCAGGTTCCTCCAAATTTCATAATTCCCAGCAGTATGAATATTAGAGCTGCTGCTATAAAAGAAGTTTGCTCTAGAAGAAGAATTTTTACCGGGGAAAAAACACTGAGTTTTGACTATCTTTATTTTCAGCCATGTCTGAACATCTCTAAATAAGAAAATTTTAGCTGGGGGTAGAAACTATCAACATGAGATATGTCAGACTGGTGGCTGAGTCTAAAGCAAGTGAGTGATGGTACCTACACACACCAGCACTCAGCCTTGCAGCATGAGATGGTGCCTCCAAAGCAGCTATAAATCCTCTCATCACAGCCCCTGTGGGACAGGCTCTCCACACCCTGGTGACAGAGCATTAAGGCTCTTGGAAAGTGGTGCAACTGGTCTGATGGACTGAAGAACAGTAACACAGAAAGCAAATCTGCCCAGTCTGCTAGACTCTGCTTTCTCCCTGACATATACGACCACAGAACATATATGTGTTTTTCATGTGATGTATGTGCATCTCTGTGAGAAAGGCAGGAGAAACTTCATCTACAACGTTCAAAGCTGATGCTGTTGAAAATGGAAAATGTGAGGATACTCTTTTCATGGTCACTAACAACGCGAATGTTTTAGCAACTCCCTCCACATAGCTGAGTTAAAAAATAACCTTTCTATAAATGCACCACTGTATTCTGAGGTCAAATAAGTCACTCCAAGGCGTTCAGAAAACAATTTGCTATTTATCTTGCCGAAGAAAACAGCTCCCTATTTTTTCCTCGTCTTTTCTTTCCAGGGTTCTAAAACCCCCTGGAGGATAACTATTTTGATAAATTGCATAACAAATTGTATTTCAGGGCTGCACATCTCCGTCACAGAGTATGGAATCAGTGTAAGGCAGCCTGTTTTCATGAGCTATTTTGAGACACGATGGCCAACACTGGCTTTCTCAGAATCCATCAGCACTGCAGGACATGTTTTTTCCCAGGCACGCACATGTACACGCATCGCTGCATGTCTCCCATTGAACCAATAGTTCCCACATACCCCTACTCCAAACAGAAGTTTTTCCTCAAAGAAGAGGACAGTTGAGGAGATGCTCAACTCCAGAAGGCCTGGCAGCAAAAGAGGAAAAAAAAAAAACAAAATCAGCTTGCCCTATGGTGGTTCTTCCAGCTTCAATCTTGATAACTACTGCATCTAGTGACCATCTATGGTCAGGAAAAAAGTAGGTTTACCCTGGGAAGGTCATTTATAATTAACCGAAACCCTTTCCACCTTGGTGTCTAAAGAAAACAAGCATATTCAGCAGAACTGGTCCTTGAGAGTCAAAGTGTGCTATCATAACCTCCTGTTACTTTTGGCAAACAAACCAGTATCACCTACTAGCCCAGGCTCGTCTGTGTACAGCACGGCTGCCAAAAACAGGATGAAGAAAAGGATGACACACTGCTAATCTGTAATCATGCTTGTTCAAAGTGCGAATGGAAAGAACGGGCACCCTTGACCCTGCAGTCCCCTGTTTATCACCGGAGTAAGTGAAGCCGTGGCTGTGGCCAGATAACTTCCATAGCATGAATATGTCTCTGCCCTAGGCAGAGGGCCAAGGAGAGAGCTGTCACTCCTACCTCTTCAGCTCCAGAGCTTCTCAGCTGGGACTGCTGATGACAGCAGCAGCAGGGATGCAGGGACACTGAAACTGGGCTGTATCAGATGACCAACAGCTCCTGCTGCAAGAGAACAGAGAGCAAAACTCACTGTCTGGATTCTGGCTACAGCTCAAGAAGACCTAAAAGAAGTAAAACCCAGGAAGCCATAGAAGAAAAATCCTTCCCTCACCCTTTCTTCCTCCTGCCCAGTCTGGGCAAATGGAAAGAAGTGGGAAGCATCGCCTTGCCCCCTTTGCCCACCAGCACCTCTGTGCTCTGGTAATCACTCTGCTTCGTCTTTGAGATGGCAGAGCTAAGATGCTGCCCGCATGTGCTGCCACGTGCCTTGAGCACAGCACCCTGTGTGAACAGTGCACATCTTGACTGTGCATTGTGGAGATGTGCGTAAATGTCTGTCTGAGTCATGGCTCTGGTGTGATTGACAGCCCTCTGCTCCAGAAGATGCAGAGTGCTTAAGCGGTGGGAGCTTGGTAGGCAAGGATGTTATGTAAGTGCATGGTTATTTTTGTTCAAAGTTTAGTTTTGTGCTCTCGGAGACTAAAAATATATGCATACAAAGCTAAAGGATGCGTTTCCAAAACTTATTAAACAGTCGTGCCCTTTCTCTAATCATCCTCTTCCTATTGTCAGCAACTGCCAACTGCAGAAAGCAAGGCTTCTCCTTTATAACCAGCCTCCTTCTCTGCTTGCTTTCTTCTTCAAGACTATAGGTACACTCGGGACAACACAGACAAATATAACAGCAATGCTGGTGCAGAGAACAAGAAAACTTATTTTAAGGTGGCCACAGGTTACTGCTGCAGTTCTAAAAGCAGCTCTAAAACCAGACCATGCCCAGGGCCTGGGGCAGCCCCTGTCTTTGAAGACTTCTGCAAAGTGGTAGCACTTGTGATCCAGATGACAAGGACGAAGGCTATTCTGCCAGACAGCTAAGGGCAGCACAAGAGGTTGTGAGGTACCAGGAGAGTAAAGACAGCTTCAGAACTGCCTTATTTTAGCAGAAATCCCTGTTCAGTGCAAGAAGGAAGCTAGTCTCACACAGGTCCGAGCCCTGGTCTCAGGGCAGCATGTAGAGATAGCACGGCAGTGTAACACTGCCACTGCCCTGCTCTGCTCGCAGTTTTCCAAGTGATCTTGGATCAGTGCCTTAAGCATAAGTTCACAGATGTCTACTGAAAGGCCTTTCTCGTGCATCAAACAGCAAAAGTCAGGTGCTTTTGTCCCCTCTGTGGGGACTTAGTCTTTCTGTGAGCCTTGCTTCTTTCCTCTGTAAAATTTAGACAGAAGCATGGCCCTATCTCCCTCAAAATCAACAATGCACACACTGGGAAGGGATTGAGGGGCTGGGAGGTGATTAAGAGAGTGGGAGCAGGAGCCCAAATAAAAAGATGTAGCTCAGGCACAAGCTAAGCCTGTGCTTCTGCCCTGTGAAACTTTTCAGACTGAATAAACTGGGTCTGTTATCATTGAGAAGCTTTGAAGAAAAACACTGAACTTCTAGAAGACTGCCTGCTGCTTGTTTAAACTTCAGACAGTTAAATGATAGAGGCTAATTCTGGTGCTCTGCTACGCCCAGACATCTATCCCTGCTGGCAGGTCTAATGAGGCTTCAGTCTGCACAAGAAATGGTTATTCATCATCACCTCTCCTTGCCCCTTATGTAAATGTCCTGCTTTGTCTCAGAAGAAAGAAAAAGTCTATAAATAAAGCGTAAGCAGCTATTTTTGGAAAAGAATTTTCTTCCTGGTGTACGTGTCTGTGTGTAAACAATCATCTTCCACATTTCTGTCAGCTCATCTAATCTCTTACATACTGAAGTTGTTTTTTTTTCACTGCCTTGCATCTTTCTCCATCTCTCCCTGGGATTCTTTCAGAGGTCGGGTCCTTCAAACCCAAATGTGTGTCCTAGCAGTGCCCATCATGGCAAGAGGTCTGCAACAAATGTACGAGGCAAAGTCTGATCCTCAGAGTCATCCATTGATCCCACGTCCTGTAAAGACCTAAATCTTCATCTGTCCAAGTATTTGTGCCTGCATATGCTTTGATTTCACATATCATCATGTCAAAGTATAGAAAATGAAGTTGTAGTTTGGGATGGGTGAGTACCTTAGGGAAGTGAAGGAACAGGATAAAAGGGACAGCAGCTTTATGAGCAGAAAGAAGCTGCTAACAGCAATGGTGAAGCTCTCCACAAGAGACAGCAGCCTCATGTGTGCTGATAAGAGACAGGGTTAAGTGAATGGAACATCACATGCCTGGACTGTTCATAACTCTCCTTCCTACGCAAGCAACAAGCACTAGAGGTGGATAATACAGGAATGTCAATGAAGAGCTAAAAAAAAAAAAAAAAAACAACACACAACCACCCTTCCTGTATGCAGTTTTAAACATTCCCAGGAACTCTGAGCTTGTTCTGAAAGTATCCAATTCAAAGCCCAAGGAGGGCTTTTCACTCCAGCTTGTGATAGCTCTGCTTATCGTGCTGGCAGGCAGGCAAAGGCAAAGAGGCTGGAAACACTAAACTGGACTGGGTGCTCATCAAATAACTTTCACCAGAAGCAAAGGACCAGAGGAAGAGGCAGAGAGAACAGAATGAGTCAAATGACAGGTTAGCTAAGAAGGTAGCAAGCACATTATAGAAAAAAAAAGCAAGTGTTTGACATGCTCTGTTCCTTGTGCCTTTATCCCAAACCGCTCACTGCTGCCCAGCGGCACAGACAAGGTTGTACAGACCTTGAGTCCAACAAAAAGTGTTGGTTCCTCGGAAGAACCAACATCATAATTTGTAACTGCTTAGCTGAAATCCCAACCAGATTGAAGACAGCAAGCGTTTTGTCATTGCATTCAGCAGAGGCAGAACTGTGTTCTGCGGGCACCACTTAGCTACACAGAGCATTATTTCATGAAGCCCAGAACTCCCTCTGTTTTTTTACTTTTTAATCCTCTGTTACTTTCCACAGCTCTCTGGAGAGAGCCTCATGTCTAAACCCTTAACATGGGCACAGGAAACTCAGGATCCTTAGACCACCTGATCTCACTAAAGCTTTCTTATTAGTAATTTGTCCCCTTTCAGCCATCTGAAGTTTTGCCTTGGGAACTTTCTCTTCAGTCCCAGCTTATTTTACTTCTCTGTACTTACTAGGACTGAGTACAAGTAGAACATCCTATGGGCAAAACATAGTCCAAACTGGCCCCCATCCAAACCTTTCACTGGTTTCTTACTGAAAGAACCAATTTTACCTGGGTCGTGACGTGGGGCTTGCAGAAAGTTCAAACCAAGTGTGTGGGATTCTCATGTGAGAGAAACTCAAAGGTCAGAGTTTCTAATTTCCTTGAAACAGCTTTGAAATCTTCCACACCAAAAGACCTGTCCTTTGATGTGATGTCTGCTGGAAGCTTCCTCATTGCCTGCCTGGGTAGAGCAGAGACAGCTAGCTTGCCAAAACCATCAGGATTCAGTTCCCAGCTTCCTATTAACCTTAGACAAGTCTGTGGGTTGATTAGCAGATTTTTGGGTCTTGAGGATGCTCAGAACACTGCTATAGGGTTGGTATTAAGACTGTTTTCAGAGAGAGAAGGATGGCCTGGCTACAATTTCCCTTTATTTTCCTCTTTCTCCTCCTCCGCATTCTCTCCTGCTGCTGCTGCTTTTGTGAAAAGGTCTTTACTGTGCCTCAAAGAAAAAGTGCCTCTGATGGCCTTGCTTTCCCCTGACTGCTTGGGGCCATCCAAGAGCCAGTCAGAAGGCTGCTTTTGTCATAAGGAAAGCTTCTTCCAGGCAAAGGAAGGCGATGCCTGGGGCTTCCATATTCACAGCCTTTCTATTTCTGGCTCTCCCTTTTCACAAGGCTTTGTTCACTAAAACCCTGCTCTCCCCAGACACATTATTAGTGAGTATACTTACCTCAGAAGCAGAGTGAATTTGGGGAGGACAGGATGCATGCAATATCACCAATGCCACCCCTAGATCACTCCCCAACCACAAAAATCAACTCTGGCACAGCCCACCCTACCGATGAAGGGCATTTTTGCATCTCCACTTCCAGGGAGTTTGCTAGAAAGGAGGTTCATTAATAGAACGCCTCAAAGGCTTAAATCCTGCTCTGCAGACTCCCATTTTCCTCTTGTGGAAAGTAGAGAGTAATCCTATTTTCAATACATAGAGAGGTAGGCTGTGTTGATACCAAGTCTAAAGCATTTCAAGAAAGGTCACTGGAATAATGTGATGATGCACAAGCTCAGAAAGCCTTAAAGAGCTCCAGGGAAATGACATGAATTGTGAAGGTAAATGTAACAGCCCCAGCCCCTCCTCTGATCCCCAACAGTAGGATTTCAGCCCAGAGCAGATCTTCCAAACCTGGAATTGCTGCTGACTCCACACAGCAAGTTGGGTGACCCTTCCTTTTCCTCCTACCTTACCCCATGTAGCATCTGCCAACCCTGTTCCCAGCACTTCATTTTGGCTACAGACCTTCACTCCCTTAACCCTGACCCCGATATACATTGCCACTGGTGGTGCTACCAGTCCAGGGAAAGGGTGCTTTGCCATCTCTCGTCTTTCTGATACAGATAAACTCTGAACATCAGATTTACCCCACGTTATAAGTATCCTGAACTGGGCACCAGCAGTTTTGCCATTTTTTAAATCGTGACAGATGCCAGAAGTAGACAACCATTTTCCCATCCACTGAGACTACAGCTCACCCTTCCGCAGATTTTCACCAGTGGCTCTTCTGAACATATATTTCTGATGCCTCTTGAAGCCTGACAGCATTGGAGCACAGGACTATCTGACACACACATAACACAAGGTCAAACCAATTATCACACTCCTTGCCCACAGGCACCAAGGCACATTTTGTGCCAATCTTACAGCATTCTGCCTGATTCCAGTCAAACACAGGGAGGCTTGTTGTTATTAAACTCAACAAAATTACTAAATAAATAAATAAATAAATACGCACATTTGCTACCTTCCCAGCACTTTCCAGAATAGAGAATGTTTACTACATGGCTCCCTTTCTGAGCTTAAAGCCAGCTGGTCATACAGCTAGAAAATTCTCTACATTGAGTACAATTTTCTCCAAGATTTGGCATGGCAACACTTTGATAAGGTACTGATAATGAGAGCGCGTGGTGGTTTTCGTCAACATGTGAAGTCACACTTTTCCCAGAAAGATACAGTCAGGGCTGTAATCTTGGACAAATCTCCAGGTTTCTAACTACCACAGGCAAGGTCTGATCTGCCCAAATGAATGCACCTTGGTTCTTGTCTTGTTATCCCATCCAGTTATTGCTGTTTAACATTCAGCCCATCTTTTCAGTCCTTCTGATCTGAGCACACACCCATTTCCTCCTCTGGCACCAAGCAGATTAGAAAACACTTGTGTGCTCAAATCACAAATGTGTACCAGTATCACCTGGTCTAATCAGAGTTAGTTCTTCCAGAAATTTCTAACAGGGTAACAATAGTCTTGCCAAAACAGCTCTTAGCTCCCTAAGCACTTGCTAGGAGGCATGGCAAGAACAGGGCTTGCCAGAGCAACAGGAAGTTCTTTCATTCTCACAGAAGCCATTGAACAGTGCTTGGAATATAAGGAACCCAGAGCTGGAGGGCTTCCACAGCCTCCTGGGGCATGCATTTCCCAGCTGCCATGGGTCTTGGCAGATCTCTGTGTTACACCCAAGTTCTGTTTCTCCTCCATTCTCTCCTCCAATCTCACCTTGGAAATGCAGCGTGAAAACAGAATTCCCTTTCTCCAAATATTTTTTTTCCTATCTTTCTCAGCAGATTTGCTCTTAGCCAGTCACCCTCTGGACAGAGAGAGGAAGAAGACACACGGTTTCTTAGAGAAGACTTCTCATTTAACTATGTGTGTGTTTAATTCCCAGCATAGCTCCATCCTCATATGGAGCATCACTTTATCTTCAGATGGAAGACAGGCCACAGAACATCTGCTGGCTAGTCCCAGGTAGGAGAGGACCTCCTCCTGAGCATAGTCCAACCAAAGCAACAAGCTCAGGGAAAACACAGACAGATGGAAGCAGTCTGGTAAGAATCATTATTCATGAGCAGCTTCTACTGAGGAACAGAACTAGGACTGAATTTCTCTTTTGGGGCTGTTTGCACTTTCTGTTGGGGTCAAAAGCCTCAGAGGGGAATTAGTAGTCACGTGACTGCAGTCATGTCATCCCCTTGTTTCCATGCAGTCAGGAGGCTGCCAGGGGAAAGGAAGGCAAAGACAAGCGTCCCAGCAGGATGCTTTAACCCTTGCTCCCTGCCAGCAGGCACACCTTGCAGAAGATGCAGTGGAGTTGGTGATTTCCCATCTCTTGCCAATCAAGCAGAGTGGAGAAAGGCAACTACATGACTGAAAGCACTTCTCCCTCCCTCTCTAGGCATCTACTGATGGTGGAAGAGGCAAGATGGAGATGAGAGTAACTTCTCCTTGGAAAGCTAGGGGATTCAAATATATGCCAAATACAACCTGAAGAAAAGCTGTCTTTGGATTTACCTCAGGAAGACATTCTTCGGCGTTGCACAGCACCTCCATAAACAGGGATGTTTCACTCTTGATGGGAGGACTAGGGAGAGAAGGAAGAGAGGCATATCAGGAGAAAGTTTTGCATCAGTACTATGCCCCAGCTGCAGACAAAGGCCTTTTAGAGACAGATGGTGGTGGCTAAAGGATGCCAGAAGATCTCCTTCATTATCTTCTTCACCTGTGAAAAGTGAGACTGGCACCTCCTCCTAGGGCTGCAAGAATGAGCCCCATAAAGGTGATGACAAAGTAAAACTTCCTGTTTCAACTTGATCTGTAGCCAGAACTGCCTTAGTGACCACTTGATCCTACCAGATTGTGAAGTTCCTCTGGATTTGTACTTTAAGGACAGCCTTGACATAGCACTGGTCATGTTTCTATGGATTAGGATTCCGCCTCTCCCACAGACAGCATGAGGGAAGATAAGACATTTTAAAGCAAACAAGATATACATGCAAACCTTGGTCTGTAAGAAAGATCCAGCCTCCAAACTATGACATTTATCTGCAGAAGAACCAGAATTTCACTTATATATCTGCTAATCTACCAAACAATCACATAATGCTTTGTTGAATGAGAACTTCTGCTTCTTTGCACCTCTGACATGGTTTTCTACATGATGTTTTAATTTTTTTTTGTTTCCTTTCCTCGTTTCATTTCCTCTTTAAATTCCAAGACAGCTGCCTGTGTGCAAGGACAGCAGCTGTTTTATTCCTGGAGTTAGTATGCAGTTACTGGACAGATAAACACTGGGCTTTCTGCAGGAAGCTCAACTTTCCTTCTTTCCTGATTTGTTGTTGTTTTCCTCAGGCTGAAACTAATATCTACTTAGAGAAAAACAGGCATTTGGGGTTTTGTCTATGGAAAGAAAGAGTTCACTCTGTCGGGAGCAACGTGTGTCCTTTCAGAAACAGAAATAATTTCCCTCTTAGATTTCAGTAAGATATTTTTGCCATGTTATGAATCCAAACATTTTGTAGAATCATGCAGGCACTGAAACAACAGAGAGGCTTCACTGAACTACAGAAGAGCAAATGGGATCAGAGCTAGCCTCTGCACTAAGAGCACAGCTTCTAAAGAGAAGCCTTTTCTGCAAAGCCCACTGTGCCCACAGATCTGCTGGCACAAGAGGAGCACAGAAAGGGGTTGGACTGCAGCACATGTTTTGGCATCAAACAGCACCTCACATCACAGCTGCTGAAGCTTAGTAAGTCACTCGCAGAACCACAGCACTTCCTACTTCCACACATAAAAAGAACAAGATCCTTTCTCAAAATTAAGGGTTTGTGTTTTGGACCAGCAGAACCGCAGGGTATGGAGCTTGCACACGCAGCAGGGCTCTTGGTGAGCCCAAGGGCTGTTTCACAGCAGCGCTGGAAAGCAGCATTGTGCTTTTGTTGTCACAGGCCTACTCGAAGCAGAACAGATGCTGTGACAAAGCTCATTTTTTTGCAACCAGGAGCCTCAGTTAAGTCCACACATCCTCAAAAGAAGTGTTGAAACCTCAGAGTGTGGATTCAGTAGTGAGTTAAGCTTCTAAAACTGTGAAGCTCCCCAGCTCTGGCTACATTTACCCGTAGCCTTGCTCCACAGGCTGCTGTAAGGAAGGGAGGGCAGACGCAGCTGTGCTGCTGAGGCCTACATGGCTCCTCGGGGTGCTGTGGGAGACTCGTGCTGCTACTGAAAGGTGCCATACAGACTCACAGCCTCTAACAGAGCAGCCCCCTGCCTTTTTCTGTATGCTTAAAGGGTAGCCTCTCCCATTTCAGCTCTGGCAAACCTCTTCCCTATCCCACCTCAGGTTTTTGTAACCACCAAGTGGGTAGAGAATGTCCTCCAGTCGAGGAGGACAAAAAAACTGCCCATGCCAGTGTTAGCAGCCTGCTCTACCCCTTCCAAAGCACCTTCAAATCACCCCTTCAAACAGCTACTGAAAGGCCAACGCTTCTCAAGCGTCAGCAGCTCTGGTAAACCTAACCATCGCCTACACTGGCAGAGCCTGTTGTGCTGGACAGCGAGGTACCTCTACAGGATCTGCCCAAAGACAGCATACAAGCAGTTGGCATGGCCAAATAACAAAGCAGCAAGCACTTGTGTTTGGGCATGCACAGTGACCTGAAGAAATAAAAGCCCCAGGAGAAAATGGGGAGAAAAGAAAGAAGAAGAGCAAGGGTGGAGCCTCTGCATCCACCCTGCTCCACCCTGGAACCAGTGAGTGCTGCCTGCTCCTGTGCAGGGCAAGAGCCCAGTGCTGGGCCTGCCAACCACTAGTGCCTGCAAATCTGGTGTCCAGACAAAAATGGCAATGGGTTTGGTTTGGGCACTGAGCTTTTCCAAAAAAAACCCCACAACCACTGAGTGAACATGCTTTTGATCGTACATTGCTGTGTTGGTTTTCTGCTTGTTTTTAATAGGACCTGGGTGTTCTTTTCCTTCCAGTTTCTGAACCTTCCATTTACTTTAGTTTTTCAAGCTTTCCTCTGAAAAAAAAAATAAATAAAGAGGCTGGAAATGTTCCTTTTCAAGTATAAGGCAGCTGAGACTCTTTGACAAAGATGACTCCAGCTGCTGGGATTCTAAGGACAGTCTAGAAATGATGAATCTCCTAATAAAATCATCAGAACTGGCAAATCCATACTTCCCTCGAACAGCTATGATTTCTTTGCCTGTGGGAATCACTGTGTTGAAACGCCTATGAAATTCCTGCCATGTCATTGAATTTGCATGCATTTCTTTTTGGTTCCTTCCTTCTTCAGCCCTCTTCCCCTGCCAGAGTGCAGACATTCCTGAAAATCAGCTAACCACACTCCCATACTTTACAGCCTGAAGACCTTGAAACCAATGAGCCTTGAAGAGTAATTGTAGCATTACGGGCACCAAATGAAGCTGAATTATGCAGCATTTAGTGGATGCTGCTTAGTGGATTGGTTTGGGGGGAAGTGTTATATAATTGAATTTTAAAAGGTTAAAAAAGAATTCAGCTGACACTGCCTGTTGGAAAACAGTGTAAAGGTGCAGAATACAGCCCTCTCTGTGCTGAGGCCAGGTTGGGAAAGGTCTGGCACTGTATATGAGCTATAGGTAGCGAGTGAAGCGGCGGGTTGAGTTTCTCATGGGTTTGACAGTGCTGTTTGTGTGGCAGAAGCCTTTTACCCTCTGACACTTATTGCTATGGCAGAGCTGAGGGGCAGGAGTGGCTCTAGCTACACCACACGAGCATAGTGCACTTCGTCCAGAAGGTCAGCTGAAACTGGAGGAAAAAAAGTTCCCTAAATGACACAGCAATTCTAGAAAAAGCTTGTGCTGTTTTCCACCCCATTAGCAAAAAATATGACCCTGTCCTTGCAAACCTGTACTCAGAAAGAACTCACTTTGCAGAAGGTACTACGCCTCTGCTTGGAGGAAGGAGAGCAAGGGCTCAGACACAGCATTATCATATCAGTAAGACCTTTTCCATGTAGACAAATAGAGCCTGGGCCCTGTCCCAGAACGCGAACAGACCTGAGGGAGATAACAGATGAGGGAAGGGAGGTGTTAGAATCTTTTTTTTTTTTTTTTCCCACGGCCATACATTTGTCTAGCTCTTATGTACCATCCAAAAGAAAAGCAACAGTAACAGAACTGATGAAGCCAACACAGCTGCTCCACAACGTGGTACATGTTCAGCAGTCACTAGAGGTGTGTGTTCAGCAGTCACCAACCATCCCTGCATGCATTCACGTGAGGTGCACTTCTGCACATTTTACAGAAGGAATTCAGTATTATCATCTCTGTTCTTCACAAGTAGAAATTAAGTTGAAATTAAGCATTAATTAAGAAATGAATGTAGAAGATAAGCAGCTTGCTCAAGCTCACACAGGAAATGGGTAAGGAATAAAGAATGGGAAATAGGTGTTGTCCTGACTGTGCCATCACATGGCTGTGGCTTCCTACCAACACTTTAGCATTGCACAGGTCCTGGAAAACAAAATGTTTTGAAGTCCTTATTCGTCATATTCAGGTGTTTGTTCATGGACAATACCTTGAGAGAAGGTAGGAAGAATGCAGAGGAAAGCCTATTTAGGACCTCACCTGTGCTTCACCTTGCTTTTCAGTCCCCTTGCTGTAAAGTTGGAGGACTGGCAGTGGGACTGATGGCAGAGAGAGAAGCAGGAGCTCTGCTGGGCTGATCAAGAACTGCCTGTGCAGCAACACCACGTGGGCATCCGTGAAGGGCCTGGCATTCCCAGCAGGGAAAGGTGCTCACCCCTCACAGCGCACTGCAGATGTCCCTGCATGTGCCTGCTGAGGAGCACTGGCACACAACCCAGCAGGATGCTGCTCTGACACTGACTCACCCCACAGGTTCGGGCAACTCGCTTCTTCCTCCTTCCTGACTCCCCACACGGGCAGAGCACCGAGCACCAGGGCTTGCTCCATGTCAGAATGAAGCAAGAGTCTGGGGGAGGCAGGGGCCAGGAGGGAGGCACAGTGACAGTCTGACAGAGGAATGCGTGACCATGCCCTGCAAGGCTGCAGGCATTTCCTGATCTCCAGATTCTGCCAGCCTCACCGCTGCTGAACTCTCATTGCAGAACACAGGCACCAGCCCCACCATGCCTGGAGATAGAGATGCGGGGGTGCCCAGAGGAAGCAGCCACCCGCAAACCTGCCTGGGTTGCAGCTGAGGCTTTTGGTTACCTTTTGGCTTGCCACTCGCTGCTCGGTGTTTAAACACAGGTGTCCGCTGCTGTTGACACTGAGTAATAAATGGACATTTTTTCCATTGGAAAGAATCTCAAGAATTTCCCAGTTCTCTTTTTATTCCTTTTTCCTCTTGCGTCTTCCTAAGGAGGCTGTTACTGCAGGGAGCAGGGCAGCCAACGTGGGTGTGACAGCACTCAGCTGTGCCCTTGGGTCTTATTTTTATATCAGCCCCTGCACTCCTTCCTCAGGACACAGCCATCCTTTAAATTGAAGCCTTCCTTCCTTTCCACACTCCCAGCTTGTGTTTGATGATTTCTGCTCCATTCCGTGGATTGCAAATCAATACCCCTGAATGGAGGTAGCAGACACCTCCAGGGCTCAATTACCCCTCCTCTTTCCTATGGCACTCAAACCAGTTAGTTTATTTTCCCAAGATAAACCAGACTGCCATACTCTCGTATGTCCCAGAGAACATAAGGCAGATCCCACAAACCCCCAAACTCTGCCAGCACCACGGTCTATGAGGAAATCCTTACCAGGAGTCAGAGTAGCCCAACAACCCCACATACACCTGAGGGTATATCTTCTGCAAACACAAGATGCCGAGGTGTTTCTATGCACCAGTTTGGCCCTCATATGCATTTGCTATCATCTTCTCCCCATGCTTCTTGGACTTGGTTGGAAAGCACAAGCACATCTCCAGTCCCCCTGCTCGTGCTCATGCCTGAGAGCTTCCCAGGGGACAGCAGCAGTGCCAGTAAGTATGCACCAGCCCTACCATAAGGTGCTCTAAAAAACATGAATGTGTTATTTTCCTGCAAGGCTACATGGAAAAAAAAAAAAAAAAAAAAAAGCAACAAACCCTCATTGCAATGCAGTGTTGTCCTCTCTGGACAGCTGGACAGCTCTGCTTGTGGGCTGCAGAATTTTGGTGGCATGCCCAGCACAGCGGGAGGGTTTGAGGTCTGTCCGGGAGGAGACAAACCTCCATGCTGGAAACTTGTGGTCCAAAAGTCATAAATTATCCTTTTTCCTCCTGGGTATATACTGACAACCTCCCTCGGCCCCCTGACTGCTCCATTCACATCCCCAGGGAACACAGGAACATCCCTCTCATCCCCAGGGAGGGAACAATGGGAGGAGGTAAAGGGAGGGGACAGGTTCTGAACAAAAGAAGAACAAGGTCAAACCACAGGTGAGACGCTACCACTTCATGAGGAAAGAAATAGGTAATAAGGTTGGTTAGCAACCAGCAAACGAGCCATGGCATTCACCCTCCTCAGCCTGCAGAGGCTATAAGCAGCCTTTCATCCATGCCCTCGTCC